GAAATCCATATGGCCATTGATGACCCAAACCCCCCCCCCCCCCCCCACCCATCTTCCTATGAAACAGCTAATTACATGCCCTGCTCCAAAGATGACCATCTAATTCAACTTTCTCCAGAAGATCTCCATCGCATCTACTCTCCATGGAGATTCTCTACAATCCTAAAGCTACAAGGGATGAGAATTCAACACTAACTACTTAAAAGAAAGGTCCAAGATCTGTGGAAATTGAAAGAAAACTTTCCACTTATAGACTTAGGACATGATTATTATATTACAAAGTTCAACAATGAAGATAGCATGTTAAAAGTGCTACATCATGGTCCTTGGTTTATCTTTGGCCATTTTCTTACTGTCCAAAAATGGATTCCAAACTTTATAGCCTCAAAGGCAAAGATATCATTAACAACCATTTGGATCCGTTTGCCTCAACTACCAACGGAGTTTTATGATAGCCAAATTCTCACAAAGGTGGGAAACAAAATTGGCAAATTGCTAAAAATTGATGCATGCACCTCCTCAACCTTAAGGGGCCGCTATGCTAGGTTGTGTGTTGAAGTCCCACTTGAGATTCCGGTCACTCCATTTGTTTATATTGGACCACATAAACAAGAAATACACTATGAAGGTACCAATATCCTATGTAAAAATTGTGGAAGACTAGGGCATTCAATGTCCTCATGCAACTACACTACTCAAAGAAGCAAACAAAGCCCCCCAATGGAAGACACGGCCATTGGCCAATCAAAGCACATTGACTCTACTAGCCAAGACATGCAAAGGGGATCCTCTCTGCCCAAAGAAGATGCCTGGCACACTGTGTCATTCCCCAAGAAAAAAAAGGTTGTGTACAAGCCGAAGTCCCAACAAGCCAATGATGGTAAGGTATTTTTTAATTCAATACCCAATCCAGGTAAGTCCCCTCTCCCCCTCTACTTATCAATCCTAATAGTAAAAAGATACTCCTATTGATCCTCTACATGCTAATCATGATAATCAAAAGGTTAAGGCTATTGTTACAAGCAACCCCTTTGGAGCATTGGACAATCCGCCTACTCCCACCAATGATCTCATTGGTAACATAGGAAGTAACGACAATGCATGCATGGTTATTGACATGGCATGCAAAGGACCAATGGAAGTCCACTTGGCAAACCCTAAGGTCACCCAATTAAAATACATGCAAGGCCATAATTATCTTTCCACTACTAATGACACCCTAAAATATCCTAACACTAAAATTATGCACGACTCACCTCCCTCCAAACCCTCTAATATAACACCTATTAATCATAATCCTAGCTTACCTTCGTGCATGGGAGACAACACTCTAGGCAGAAATATCAACCACGTGGACATAGAAGCTTCCCTTTTGACACAAATGGCCAATGACCAACCCCACACTTCCCTAACAAAATCTTCACAAAATCCCTTTAAACACACTGTCACAAGTAACCTAGGTGATATCAATTCAGATATCACCACTACCAGTCCCTCCATCTCTACTTCTCATCCAAAAAACCTAGACTCCTATTCATACGACAACCTTATAAACACTACTCCTCCCCTTAACAATGCCAAGAATTCCAATCACCCAGAGAAGACGTTACCGTCTAGTCCAAATCCTAAGGCACCAACGAGCCCAAAACATGTCCAACCCTCCACTACCCCAAAACCAAATAGCAAACAATCAAACCTACTTCATACAACCACCATTGCCATAGGATCATCAACCCCTCTAGTGGGTGGAGCAAGCCTTAACGGGCCATGCAATAACGTTGAGTATGGTGCTCAATGGTCAAGACACGATCATAGTTCTTCAAAACTCCCATTTCCTAGCTCAACTAGTCTCAGAGGGGATGAATATGGGCATGAACAATTACTTCAATCATGTCTGGTTGAACAATATCCTCCACCCACTAGCTCCATCCCTAAATATCAACCAAGCACAAGCCATGAGGAGTCAATGGAGCCTCCCACCACACTTCAACCCCATCCAGTCCCAACAAGTTCCAGTGGATCTCCCATTCTTTCCCCCAGGGGAGATCAACAATATGAACCCCATTTTCATTCCTTGGACAACCTCATTCGATCCAGTGCTTCCACAAAACAACCAACAACAACCCCAGGCACCTCCACCACCACCACATCCACATCCTCCAGCACCACAACCACCACCTGCCCAACCTCAAAACCCTCCAATGAACCCTCAAATTCAACCCCCTCTCAATGTACTAGAACAAGAAAATGTGGAAATGGAAGAGGAGGAAGAAGTAAACCTAATGGGGTCCGGTCTAGTCCTAGAATTTTCAAGGCTCAACGAGGTAAAAGTCTACCTATTCCAAGATCAAAGGGAGAAAAGGTACGTGCTAAGCTGTCCAATAGCACTACACAAATTTTTCATGGATGTGCGACCCCCTCAGAATCCAACAGCGGGAAACCATGCGATGATTCTGGTTCCTTCACTAAGGAGGAACCCAATTCCTCCAGCCCATAGGAAAAATGGGACACCACCAAATCTTCCTAATATGTATAGGCCAACTAATGTAATAATATGGAACATCTGTGGTGGTAACAATGAAAATTTTAGAGTGAACTTTAGAGAAATGCTCGACACTCATAAGCCATGCATGGTCACTCTTCTAGAAACTAGAATGGACAGTCACTTATCTCTTCTAAGTGATTTTAAATTCTCCCAAATGATCGAGGTGCCTAGTCAGGGTCAATTAGGAGGTATTGTTTCTTCTTTGGGATGCAAGCGTGGTCAAGGTTCATGGCTTTGTTAGAAACAATCAAGAAATCCATGCTGTGATAGAGGTACTTCCCTTAAAAATTACTTGGTTATTTTCTTCTGTCTATGCTAGTACTAAGTTGTTTAAACGTTTAGAAATGTGGAATAACATTGAAAAAATTAGCAAAACTGTTAATGGACTTTGGCTCCTTGGGGGTGATTTCAACGATGTTATCAACTACAATGACAAACTTGGAGGCAATTCTATTAACAGTAGACGTAGCAAACAAATCTGGAAGAGTATTAACTTTTGTAAGCTTTTAGATATAGGCTATAAGGGTTGCAAATACACTTGGTCAAATCATAGGAAGAAATCTAGGGGTTTAATTATGGAACGTCTTGATAGAATTTTTGTTAATAAAGAGTGGATTGACCTATACCCTAAGGCAATCGTGATTCATTTCCCTAAAATCCATTCGGATCACAACCCACTTCTCTTAAATTTGCAACCTAGACATGCTAATAGTTTGGATAAGCCCTTTCGTCTAGAAACTATATGGTGTAGGCATCCTATTTTATTAATCTAGTTAAGAAAAATTGGCTTAGTAAAAACCTTGTAGAGGCTCAGGAAAATTTAACCAAAGATGTTTTAATTTGGAAAAACTCTACCTTTGGTGACATTTTCAAGAAAAAGAGAAATTTACTTGCTAGACTAAATGGTATTCAATCATCTCCCCATTACTATAGTAGTGACTTCCTCCAAAATCTTGAATCAACTCTTCAATTAGAATATAACAACATTTTACATATGGAACATGATTTTTGGAAGTTGAGAGCTAGGAGTAATTGGATAAACGATGGTGATGCCAACACCAAGTTTTTCCATATTATGGCTTCTAACCGTAAGCGTCGTAATGCCATTATCTATTTCACTAATGAGAATGGAGATTGGATAACTGATCCTAATAAAATTATGGACCACTCTTTCAATTTCTTCAAAGATGCCTTTCAAAGTGCTCACACTACCTCCCATATAAAATAGTGGCTATTTTTCAATGAGAATGGAGATTGGATAACTATATTATGCTGGACCGGTCCCTGTTGCAGCAAAATAGTGGCTATTTTTCAATGACTTTACAAACGCTGGCTATTTTTGAATGACCAGTCCGAAAACTGGCTAGCCCATGCTATTTTAAAAATAAAAAAAAATGTGGAACCAAACCACATATAGTGCATAAGGTGTATGCACTATATGTGTCTGGGCTAATGGCCTTTAGGCCAACGTATACCGAAAGATAATTTATGCCATAGTAAAAAAATAGAAGGAAAATTTTGAACTTTTTTGGTCGAAGAATTTTGAAATAGAAAATCCACCAAATCCATACTGGAGATATGTTAAAGTTAAAGGCACATACGAACAATTTGCTAATAACAAGGGTGTGAAACGAACGATAAAATTTGGGCCTTCCCCTAGTTTTCAACAAATTGCAGTAATTTGTCTTATAAAGATGGGAACTATTAATTAGTCCAGGCATCCAGGGCAGTCTATATCTTATCAATTGGTACGTATTTGCACTCATAGACTGAATAAACATCTTCCTAAGTGATTATATGATTCAAAATCACAAAAAGGTTCAACGATACAAGACCAACCTATGAAAATACGGTTGAGTTGCAGGCTGAAAAAGTTTCAACAACCAAAACAATGCTGACAATAGACGTCATGACCCCAGTCAAGATATCTAACCAACTTTCCCAGACGAAGCCGGCGATTATATTTCACACTGAAAGAGGGGGAAAAAACAGAATTCTTCAAAATTTTGGCAATTACTCATGATCAAACAAGCATGCTTATGTCACATATATGCGGCTCAAACTCAACTAAATTCTATTTCCGGTAAGTCATCTATATTACAAGAGGAACACAACAAGGAGGATGAAAGAATATGCCTGAAATTTCAGAGCTAGATACAGGAGACCTCAAATCCCAGGTATCATTATGTCACATACGAACTGCTGTACAGGACCATCTATCTGAATCAATATGAGAACTCATGACCTCGAAGCGAAATATATTTCTTAACCCAAATGGCAATGTCCTCGGCACAAGCCTGAGCTTGAGGGGTCTTAAGAAGCATGTCAAGAGTTGCAAACTCATGAACTGCATCCTTGTACTCGAGGACAGGAGCATCAACATTTACCTTCCGTAGTTCTTCTGAATAAGCGATGGCCCGATCTCTCATCCAGTCATGCTCCGCTACGACTGTTAGTGTTGGGGGCATCCACTTTAATGGAGGTCCTCTCCCAGGGATAAGCGGGTTAGCAGCAGGATGATCCAAATCAAACTCCCCTTCAGGTAGAAATAATTTCCAGGCAAGTGTGCACAAGGCCTTGTCATAGAAATAGGAATTTGCTAGCTTAATCTCGGAATGTGTTGGAACACTTCCGAGGAAAAAAGGATACATCAAAACCCGCGCCACCACCTTCACTGGATCCAAAAGCTTACCTTCCTCTACAGCTTTCCGAGCCACATAATCAGCTATATTTCCCCCACAACTCACTCCTAGGAGGACGCACCTGGATGAAGATATCAAAAGTACAAAAATACTAGTTAGTGAGTTATTATTTACATTTGAAAGAACGACACGAAAAGGGAGTCTTCATTTGACTCTGATTTGGTAAAGTTACTTTTTTTTTTATAAGGGAGTCTTCATTTGGCTCTGATTTGATAAAGTTATTAGGCTTGTATTCCCATCTCAACAGTGCCATCTAACATATAGAATTTTTTTATGATAAGATATTACAGTCACCATCAAACAGTAAGGAAGTGCTGTGTACTTGTACGTCATATTATAGCCCCGGGAGCTAAATCTTAGATCTATCTATTTCTTGGGTATACCATATTACACCATTAATTCAAAAAAGTTACTACAAGAAAACTTAATACAGTCAAGAGTGGATGTTTATCCTTTCACAGCATCTCCATTCAAAAAGTTATACGGCAAATTTCCCTATCAAATTCTTTTGCAGGTTCTCTAATTTTTTAATATACTCTTATTCTTACGGGAAATTTCTCCATCATTAATGAAAGGATAAACAGCCACTCTTGACTGTATTAAGTTTTCTTGTAGTAACTTCATGAAATAATTTCCCTCATCAAACAACAAAAAAGCATCTCCTATTCCTCTCCTTCCACAAGCTCCACTTAATACACAATCATGTTGTGGCACAAAAATTCTTAAGTTTCACTGGGATCATGCCCCATATAGACTAAAAGAGGACACTATTTACCAAAGTGATCTAGCCTCTCAACAAAAATTGTCTTATCCAGGCAGCTAGTCTTTTCTTGAATCTCTCTTTACCACATCCACACCAAGCAAGATTTGGATGAAGCCCTTACTAACAAAATGACTGGCTTCACAATCCAACGACAACAGCATACCAGAGTGATCTCACAAGTGGGGTTTGGGGAGGGTGGGGTGTCACAATCCAACATCTCCCTAAATCATGCACTTAACACACTAGCCTACAAGGAAATATAACTTTTTTTCAAATTTATGTGTAATCACTATGCCTTCAAAATATAGAAACAGTAAAACCTTCCCTACAACAAGATCACAGTGTTGTACGCAAACAAATATGTCAGATTATAACAAGAGGCTCTTGATTTTCACTGCTATGGAAGCCCATTAACCATTCCTTGTATATTACTATCAATAGCATTCTGCTCTAAGTTTCCATAACAATGATTAAAAAGGGGGGAAAGAGTGAATCACCTTGACATAAGAGCTCTGCGCACCAAGAAAATCATTTTGCACTCCCATTATTGGGAATCAAGAATTTAACTGTGGATATACAATACTTTCCAATTTATCCACTTCAAGCCAAATCCTATAATTTATACTATCCACAATAACTTGGTCGCAATGCTTCTTCAAATCTACTTGATACACAACCCACAACTGCCTGTCTCTAAGTCTCAAACCAACGCATTCAAGCAGAGTTGCATCAATCAATTGTCTTTCTCCAACAAAATTGAGCATCAGATACTATTTTCCCATGATTAACTTTAACCTCAAGAATATCAGTTTAGCGAGGATTTTATAGACACAACCTCCAAAACAAATGAGAAGGAAGTGGTATCATTCCACATCCCATATCATTTTCCGCATTTAGATATAAAGGTGGTGTTAAAACTCTTTTGTAATTTGTAAGACCCCTGTATCATGAGATCGGTTTAGTGTATAAATTACACTATTTCACCAATTCCAACATTTTTAAAGACATGGTGAATCAAAGGGCCCTGAAGCCCTGTTGGCATGCAGGAATCCAGTACCATCCAAACTTCCTCTTTAAAACATTTTCTGGTGCACATGAAAGATCTAATGGATTTTTATTTATTTTTTTGAGAAAGATGAAAGATCTATAGAATATAAACTCTGTATTTCAATTTCTTAATTCCTATCTTATGTAACTTTACATAACTAGCAATCTCTTGATGCTGTGGTATGATGACTAAATATTTAATTCACCTATTAAATTACTTAATCTTCTGAAGAAGATCTCTAACCATCTAATGCTCTCAACTGCGATTATGTTGCATTCCACACCAATTATTGTAGTTCCACCCAAAATAAAGACTATACCAGCAGAGACTTGTTCAAGCATTTCACGAACTATTGGTAGATGCTAGTCGTTTGGGTGGTGAAGGAGGTCGAGTTAATGAATTTTGTAGCGTAAACTTTGAAAATTGTTTTAAAAGAAAAAAGCAAGAGATATACACGGGCGAGAAGTGAATGCTTCTTCACACGGTTTACAAAACCACAACTATTACCTAACGTATATGAATTCAGCATGGTTAGAAGCTACATTTGCGACCAATATTCAACTAAATGCTTCATCAATTCTATCAAACCAATACCATAACAGATAACAATCCATGATCTAAGCTTGTCACTTAAAAGTAGAAATAAGGGGCTAAATCTAACCTTGATGGATCTCCATGAGCAGCCAACCAAGGCTCCACCAACGATGCTCCAAATGCATCAGCTATATGCCCGTAAGCATCCGACTTCCTCAAATCCGCCCCTCCTCCTCCACGTCTACTCCCCGCCGACTTACTACATTCAGCCAAATTGGCCTGTTTCGCCAGCCAATGCAGCACCTTCAGTCCATCCTCAAATGCTGCTGGATAGCGATTCTCGGGCGCTAACCTATATCCAACAGCTAAAACAATAACATCACATAGCTTCGCTATCCGTCTACAGAACAAATCATTCGCGGTGGAATCATTGCTCCCACTCACAAACCCCCCACCATGAAACTGCAACATAACCGGCAATTTCCTGCAATTTTTTCTGCCAGCTGGATTATACCCTCTATAAACCCCATTTTCAGATTTTAAACCTAAATCATCAACAACATTACAACCATAGCTATTTCTCCTATGATTAAAACTATTAAAACCATTCTTATTATAATTTTTCTGATTCTCTATCACACTATCAGTAGTACAATATCCATAGCTGTTTCGACGTAAAATGAGAGCCTGGTTTGGGTCGGATCCTGATCCCGGTCGGGTCGAAACCCTAACCCTAGATTTAGACTCCAAATCTGGGGAACCAAGACAGGTTTCAGGGAGAAAGATTCGAATAGAGACAGAGGTGGCGGGATCTACATGTAAGTCCTTAGTGGCAACACCGTCAGTGAATAAAGGATTGGCAGCAGTAATGGATTCCTCATTGGGCCGAGATGTGATGCCGAAAGAGCTACCATTATTCGGCCCATTTGTGTCGTCGATTTGGATTCGGCTCTGCAACCGATGCTTTAACATAAACTTGAAGAATACACTGTATAATTTCACTGCCACACTTGGCATTTCCTCTACATACAAGCTTAATGAAGAAAATTTTGTATCCGGTTTCGATCGAAGAGGATTTGAATTATATTACATTGAAATAAAGAGGGAATAATTTAGGGTTTAAGAGATAGATTTCCTTGTGATTAAGGGAAAGGTATTGAGAGATTACTTGATTGAAATGGAGAGAAAGGGGAATGAAAATGATTCGATTTTTCTTTTTCTTTTCTTTTTTTCTAAAAAATAGAAGGACTGCTTCCTTATGTAAGGTTTTGTCAAATGATAAATCAATAATAGTCCATTGATAAATCATGACTCGTGAGAAACAGAAGAGAAGAGCTGTTTTCTGTTTTAATTTGGCCTTTCGAAACTTGTGTTGGGCGGTTGAGGTGGGGATTGTGATCGTCTGTAGCAGGGTAATTTGTAGTGATATGTCGATTTGTGTTAAAAATTCGAAAAATCGAACCAAATCGAAAATAGAACCAAGCCGACCAGAAAAAAACAAATACTATCTAGGTTTGTTTGATTTTGGTTTTGAATTTTAAAAATCGATCAAATTTGATTTGATTTTGGTTTTAATCAAAAAATAACCGAAAAATCGAACCAAACCGGCTATAAAAGTAGCTATTTAAATTTTTCTATTATACCTGTATATTTTTATATAAAGTTTCTAAAATTTTATTGTACATATTAGTCATTTATATTTTTAGTCTAGTTCTTTGCTATTTAATAATCTAATATTTGTCTTTATATTCTAGTTTGATTGGTAGTTTTCTTTTGCTAAGTACAAGATTTATTTCATGTTAAAAATAATCGATTTTTAATTAGTACTTAAATTATTCATCACTATTTGATTCAATTATCATCAATATATCTTGGTAAATGATAGATTTCTCAAAGAGCAATTGATTTGATAGTGTTATGTTGAAAGTGTAGTCACCGAAATATGCGTTTGGCAGTGTATGTCTCATATTTAAGGAAAAATCGATAAATAACCGAAAAAACTGACGACAAAAATCGGATCGAAAAAAACCGACTTAATTGGTTTGGTTTGGTTCCAATAATTGAAAAACTGACTTACTTGATTTGGTTTCTTCTTAGGGAAACCGACCCAAACTGAACTATGAACACCCCTAGTTATAATAACTGGTTATAGTTTAAATGGAAGAAAATGCTTATACATTGATGTTATGTGTTTTATAGTATATAAATTTTGTATAAAATAGATTAGATATAATTAAAATGACATTTGTAATGAGGCATATAACCACTGAATCAATGTTTTTCTAAAAACTATAGTCAATTGTGTAGAAAAATCAGGGGCAGAGCTTACTATGTTATGTACTGGTTTGGATGAATCCACTAACTTTTGCGATTTGTAAATATTTAATTACGAAAAAAAAAGAAAAATAATTACGAATTTAGTATGAATTAATCAATTTAAAATCTACAAATTTCAAATTATGGTTATGCTAATTTGCACCCTATGTTTTATCAGGGGCGAAGGTACATAGCCCTAAGGATGGTCAACTAACCACTCTTCATCGAAAAATTACACAGTATTTATACGTAAATATTAGATTTTAATGGTATATAACATATATTGAACACTCTTTATTAGGAATTTTTTATACTTATTTCAAATTTAAACACTCTAGATGAAATTTCTGACTTCACTGCTGATTTGTATAGAACCCACAAGTACAATACGTGCATTTTGTATGTAAATTTTTAAACTTAACCATGCTTAATTGTATGAATTTAGTTTCGTGACTGTCTGAGTTAAATTTATTTATTTAACATAAACTAAAGAATTTATATATATAAATAAGGTTGGTCAGGTGCGTCTGGAGACACCAATTTTGGCGGCTGACGGCTGGCACCTGCGGTAGATTTGTCTTAAGTATTTACATTTTTCAAAGAACATTTATTCATGTTTCTTTTACATATAATAAATAATAAATAATAAAGGATTTTCAAAATAGTAATCGACTAAAGAAATCCCCAGATAGTAGTGTGATAAAATAAGAAGAAAGGATTTCACTTTTCATCTTAAAAAATCGTCAATTTCACATTATAAGAATTTCACTTAGTAAAACATGTAAAGTTCTTAACCAACTGATAAAGAATTTCCCTAATTAGTGTATTGGATTTATTTATATCACATGAATGCTATTTTCTGGCATGAATCGTGATCTGTTGGCAGTCACATGGACAGACTACTTCAAGAAAATAATATTAAATCACCAAGTTTTTAAAAGCTTGGCCAAATACTAATTATAGCTAAAATGTTTTTCAAACTAATTAGCCAAGCACAAATGTTTATCACCAAAAGAGAAAAATATTTCTTAAAATAAGCTGATTTTAGAAGCTTGGCCAAACAGGCTATAATACTGTTGAAGAACCAAGATTACTACTACTATAAACATTGGTAGCCAATACCACATTGGTTATCATTGAACTGTGGTAAGCCATACCCTTTTCATAGTTTTAAGTCATCAAAAGCTTAGCTTAATCAGCTGAAAAAGTCCTTTCACTTTTTCTATCACAAGATTTGGGCTTTGCCCTTTGCATAGTGTGAATGTGAATTGGACTGCCAAATCTTCTTTTATGGCAACCATTAGCTGGCACTCACACATTCATTATGTGCCTAAACAGATATTACAACCAACTATTTAAAGAGGGGTAGGTCGGTGCACAAAGCATCCGGCATTCACGCAGGGTCCGAGGAAGGATCGTACTCTTAGGGATGTGATGTAGACATCCTACACTAATGCAAGATATTGTATCTGCTTCTACGGCTTAAACTATATGTTATGAAAGCAAAAGTTCATCTTTTTATTTTGACAGCTATACTTCACCTTATATGTTATGCAAATAGACTTCCCTATAAACAGTCACCAGTTATGTCTTATCTGGCTTGTTTCATTTTCTTGATATGAGGATCAATTACACTACTTTCTCCAGCTGATAAAGTAGAATACTCCAATAATGCATATCAAATGAAATAAGATGAAGAATGTAACAACAAAAGTTGAAAATGTAAATTCCATGTTTTCTGTTGCTGGTACAACAATACTAAGCATTCTAATTGCACAATGATAACACCTAATTATGCATCCACTGTGCTAACCAAAGGTTTTCTTTTATGATATATAACATTAATTAAAGAATACTCCCC